TGCAGGAAATTGGGGCTGATGGGAGACCCCGGGGAACCCGCAGTGCTGCGGGGAAAAGGAGCCGGGAGCTGTCGGTCACCCCGCATCGGGACGGCGCAGTGACTGGGAGCTGCTCAGGGTGGGACCGACCCCCGGAGGAGGAGGAGGAGGAGGAGGAAGAGGAGGAGGAGGAGGAGGAGGAGGAGGAGGAGGAAGAGCATCCCCGTTTGCTCCGTATCTCTGAAAACAACGAACACGGCTCTGTCTCCGGGTGTCCCCTCGCAATGCTGAGCGGAGAGGAGCCGGCAGCAGCGTCGGGATCCTGGAGATGAGCGTCGCTTCCCTGCGCCCACCGCGGGCACAACGGGTCTGGGACGTCGGAGCCGGAAGGAAATCGGGTTGGGAGGAAGGGCTGTGCGCTGCTCCCGCACCTCCGGGACGCGTTTTTCTCCCCATAGCAAACGCTCTTCCTGCCCTGCTGCCATTCAGAGATGTTCCTGCTGCTGCTCTGGGTTGAGAGACAATAAATCAGCGGTGGGCAGAGCTCTCAAAGCTCGGCTGTGTCCCTGCTGGGGTGGATGGAAGGGTTTCAACCCACGAGACGTCACCTCCTCTATGGGACCTGTGTGTCACAGGGGCTGGATGGAAGGAGTCAGTGGGTTACTGGAGGGCACGCAGGCAGGAATGGGGGCACGCTGCAGCCCCCCCTGTGCCACAGCCCCGCTCACAGCCATGACTGCATGAGAGGAAATGGGGTTAACGCCAGGGGAACAAGAGCTGAGCTCAGGGCGAGGGCACTGCGTTCGGTTCCCTGGGTGCCAGGTGGGCCCCATGAACACCATTCCTGGGGATGGGGCAGCATCAGAGTCCCTGTGCCTCCAGGAGCTGCATCCTGCTGAGCCCTGAGCCCCGCTCTGCCCCCACTGTGCCCCACACCTCCTCCCCTGCCCCCATTCTGCTGGCCCAGTTCTGCTGGTTCACCTCACTGCTGAACGAGGAACGTGGGGGTGAGACCTGGTGGCAATTGCTCCCATGGCCTCGTCCCATAAAACATTCATTTCTTCCCATCACCTGAAATTCTACAGTCCCAGGTCTCCAAACCCCACGGAGCACGGAGTGTCTGCAGCTCCAGGGCCGCTCTTAGCAGGGGAAAGGGGCTGAGGAAGGGCTGATCCCGATGCTTTCTTCCTCCCCAGTCACTCTGAGCTCAGAGGTTTAATGCAAAAATGCTGTGAGTTATTTCAGGAGCGGGAGGAAGACATCTTTTACTCCAATTTGGCAGGGGTCGCCTGCACTTATTGCTCAGAGCCTCCCCCCTGCTGCTCCCGAGGCTTTGAACCGGTTCAGACCCCATTAGAGGGGTTAACCAACAGCAGAGAAGCGTAGGTTTAATATCAGAGGGAGTGAAGGGAGCCTGCTGGTGTTTGGGTCCGGGTTCTGTGGGGTGCTCAGGCCCCCCAGCATGTGGGTCTGGTGGTGGGGAGCACGAAATGGGGGAGCACCACTGCTGGGAAACCCCCAGGCAGGGAGAGCTCAAGTCATGGAAGCCAAGCAGCTCTGCCAGCCTCAGTGCCGCCACGTCTCCTGCTGCTGTGCTTGTGCCAATTAGCTCGCTCAGAGCAATTAATGAGCTCCAACACCTCCAGCCGTCGCCTTCCTGTAGCAGCGTGGAGAGCAACGCTCACCTCCATTGTTGAGCAAGGATGGGGACTGGAAGGAGGGAGAGCAGCGCTCCAAACAAGGCCCTGCAGCGCCCTACAACTGGCCTGGGTTCCCAGCAGGGATTCCTCCAGCAGCACCCAGCAGAGCCATCAGCTGTGGGGCTGAAAGCACGTGGAGCCCCACGGCACGGCTGTGCTTCCTAACACAAGGGACCCTTTGAGATAGGGAGCAGCTCGCGGCTCCTCGCGGGGAGATTTGCAGTTGAAAGGTCAAAACTGTTTCTGCTTCTCCTTATCAGAGCTTCCCGAGCCAAAGGAAACCTTTCACTGCACGGGTCGGGCAGGGGGGTCACAGCAGGGACGCGGAGCGGGGAGCAGCGGGGCCGGAGATGAGGCACTGATGGCAGGAGGTGGGAAGAAACCCTGCAGACAGCAGCTCTGCCCAATCCCCAGACTTCCAGCCATCCTTCCACCACCCCAGCGCAGCCCTCGGCCCCATCTGTAGGGAAATTCAGGGCATGTCGTGGGTTGGCCCCACTGGTGGTGGCTTCTCGGCTCCGTGTCCCTTCCAGCACCTCTGGCTTTGGTTTGGTTTGCAGCACGGACTCACAGGAGGGCATGAGTTGGCTTCCAGAGCTCTGCACAGAACCCCTGGAGAAGGACAGAAGCAGTGTTTGATTCACACGACTGAGGTCTCCTGAGTTTAAGAGCAGTCCTGGCACCGGGAGATGCGCTTCTCCACAGCCAAGGGTGTCCAACCTGGCACAAAAAACGGGGGGCCAGAAGCAACCTCCGCTGGCAGAAAAGCATAAACACTGCTGGAGACTCATCCGGCTCCTTCTCAGATCTCAGTTATCCTCTTTCCACCTGTCAGCCCATCCCTCCACCTACCCATCTATCCCTCCATCCTTTCATCCCTCCTCCGTCCTTCCTTCCATCCCCAAGTCCATCCATCCCTCCATCCCTCCACCCACCTCTCTCTCCATCCACCCATTCCTCCATCCATCTCCCCCCATCCCCAGCAGCAGCTCAGTGATGCCGGGCACAAGGAGCCCCAGGTGGCCCATCTGGTTTCCCTGCAGCCCTCACAGCGTCGTCACCTTTCATTCATGCTGACAGGTACAGGATTACTGCCAGCCCGCCCTGATGTGAACGCTTTGATCACAGGAGCTCTGTGAGCTCAGGGTGAGGAGAACATCCAGGGCACCGCCACCGTGGTCCAGTGAGGCACCAGCACAAAGGTGGGACCCCCTGCTGCTCCTCAGGGCCAACTGAGCATCACCCGCAAACCACAGAACCTCTGGGTGTCTCCAAACCTCCATGTGGCAAACAACCAACGCTGCTGTGCTGTGCCTCAGTTTCCCCATTGAAAAAGGGGAATTTTGACCCCACACCAGCTGCAGAGACTGCCTTTGTGCAGCACATCCCTCCCTCCCTCCCTCCCTCCCTCCCTCCATCTATCCATCCATCCATCCATCCCTCCATCCATCCCTCCATCCCTCCCTCCATCCATCCATCCATCCCTCCATCCCTCCATCCCTCCATCCCTCCATCCCTCCATCCCTCCATCCATCCATCCCTCCATCCATCCCTCCATCCATCCATCCCTCCCTCCACCCCTCCCTCCCTCCACCCCACAGCACACCCTACAGCAGTAACACCGTACAGCGGTGCCCCCGGGGACGGCTGCCTCCTCCCCCCCACCCACCACCAAACCCCGATTGCTTTCAGGTGTCGGCCACTTCACAGCATCCATCTTCCCCCCGAGGAAGGAGGAGGTTTGGAGGGGGGGAACCATTTCCAAGGGCTAAACACAAACCAGAAGGCAGCGCTGAGATTTCTCCATCCTTTCGGGACGCAGCTGCTGATTTTTCCCTCTCCTTTCTCCCCACAAAGTTTCTCCCCCCGCTCCTATGGAGCTGCCCATCAGCCCGGGGGACTCCTTGCATTTGCTGCAGACTTCTCCTTGCCCAGCAATGAATATTCAGCTTACATTTTAAGGGAAGAAAAAGCTTTCTGGTGCTTTTCTGGCTTTCCATCGCGAACCGTGGCTCCCAGGTTCATTGGGATCAGGGATCTGCAGGGCAGCTCTCGCTGGGACTGCGCTGTGGGGAGCGCCGCTGGGCTGATTTACGGCACAGGGCTTCGTCCGTCCGTCCGTCCGTCCCGGTGCGTATCACCTTGCGCATCCTGGAAGCGCTCTGTGAGGGGATGGGAAGCGTCCGTCTGTCCGTCCCATGGGGCTGGGAAGGGCTTTGGTTGGGGTTTGGGGTTTTCCTTGGGGTGGGGGGGGGCTGCAGCCCGGTCAGTGGCTCCGTGTGACAGTGGGGCACAGCGCGGGGTGCATTGGGAGCAGCGCCCCGAGGGCATTTGCACCCACACAGCTCCCATAGGGAGCCCTTTTCCAACCTTCCTTTGGTTTGGTTTTAATTTTCATTATTATTATCATTATTTCGTACCTATTTTTACTATTTTGCTTTCTATCGTTATTCGTTTTAATTCTTTTCTTTCCTTCTTGTTACCTCGTCCGAACAGCTCCGTTCAAACCCCCCTTACCTTCCCCCCCCCCCCCCCGACCTCGGGGTGCACAACGGGTCTCTGCTTCTTTGCATCACAAAACTCTGCCGGGATGGGGGAGGGAGACCCGGGGGGGCTGAAATGGAGCTCACAGCGACCCCATCGCCGAGCAAAAGGAGGAGGTGAGGAGCCCCACTGTGACCCCCCCACAGCCTGCTTGCAAAACAGGGGCTGGATGCTGCATGCAGAGCTCAGCGCTCCGACAGGACGGGTCTGATCCCCCCCCCAACCCCAAAAGAAAAAAGGGCCGCTGCAAACTGAAATGGATGCCAAAATTCAAGAAAAAATAAACAGTTTGTGCATTTGTGCAACAGAGCCCAAGGCGCTGCTGGGTTTTGTGTCCCTGTTGGGTTTTGTGTCCCTGTTGGGATTTGCCTCGGACTCACTGGCACCACAGCAATGCCAAAGAAACCCCCAAACCTCAATGCCACGCAACCCCCAAGCCGTGCCCGGCCCCGATCCCCGTGTGTCCGTCTGTCCGTCTGTCCTTCTGCAGCCCCAATGCTCCCATCCGTGTGTCGGCGAGCTGCTCCGTCCCTGTGCGCGGCCACAACGCGGCCCCGTGCAGCTGTATGCGATGGGGTTGGACTGAGGGGATTTCAGCACGGCGTTCAACGGGCAGAGGAAGGCAGAGGGGCTCCTCGGTGTTACGTGAGGGCTGTGAGGAGGGCTGAGCTCGGAAAGAAAGGAGTGGGATCCCACTGCTGCTCAGCGCTGCATTGCTGGGCTGCACAGACCCCAAATAAAGCAGATTGGGGGGAGAGGGAAGTGGAACCCGTTGCCATGCGGTGGGGATTGCTGAGCTTGGTGGCACTGCGCAGCGCCCACGGGTTTGAGCTGGGAGACAACATGGGGAACCAATGGGACACGGGCAGGGACATCCCATCCCCCCCCCCCCGGCCAGTGAGACTGAAACCGAAACCAGAACGTGGTGGCACAGCGAGCATCCCACATCCCAGCAGCAAAACCGGGAGGGGGGCACTGGAACCAATCCCCCTTCACAGCATTCGGTGACACGGAGTGACACAGCATTGCATAGGGGACAGCAGCGGGGCTCACAGCCCCTGCTCTGCAATCACTCACAGCGCACAGTGAGAAAGGACAGCTGGATGGGAGAGCCCAGCAGAAGAGGGAAAGTGTGGGGCAGCTGAGGGGGGAGAACGGGGGGTGGGTGCAGCAAAATGAGCTGCAGCCAAAGCACAGCCCTGCAGCCCCACAGCTCTGCAGCCCCACAGCTCTGCAGCCCCACAGCCCTGCTGTGCTTCCCTTCCTTTCCAGCTGAGTGCTTTCACCAGGAGCTGCTGTTGATCTCAGGCAGCAAAGCACACCCCAACTGCCCCGACCCTTCCAGTAAAGGCACCAGCATGCTGCAACGCTGCTGTTCTGCTGCTTACCACCCCCCAGGTCCTTCTGCACACGCTTTGCTGCTTTGATGCAGCTCACCCCCCACCCTTCAGCCCCGTCCCACGGCACAGAGCAGTGCCCCGAATCCACCGAAAGCTCTGTGCTGCCCAGATGGGAGAGCAGCAAATCGTGGCACAGAGCGTGGCTGCAGTGTGGGGACCCCCGGCCGTCTCTCTTTGGCTCTGATCAGCCCCACTGTGACTCTCAGCTTTCAAATCACCAAATCTGACCCCCATCCCATCCACGATCCCCATCAAAGCTGTGCCCCTTCAGACCCAAACAACCCGAGCGGCTCTGAAGCACCGAGGGCAGAGGGGTGAGAAGGGAGAGATGGACTCCGACGAGCTCCGGTTGCAGCAGGGATAGAGGAGCTCTGCCAGGCATGGAGATGCGAGTCTGGCAGCGCCGCATCATGGCATCAGCACCAAACTGATGCGCCCAGACCTCAGCCCCAGTGCTGGGGAAGGAAAGGCCGCAAACAGCAGCCTGGGGAGAGGAAGGGACACGGGAAGACGCAGGGAACAGGGAACGTTCCTCCCATCTCCGGGATGCAGAGGGCCTGGGGTCGAAGCTCTGCATCGAGGAAGGGCCCTGGGCGTTTTCCTGCTGCTCAGGGACTGCAGAGGGGAGGCCCAGAGCCCGCAGCCCCTGTCCTGGGAGGGATGGATTTCTGCTCCCGGCCGACCCCGCTCACCGGGGGGGCACTGAGGGCTGCGGTGGGAATGGGGGGCAGCGGAACAGAGGGTTAACGCTGCGGGTGGAAGGACGCACGTGACCGAGGCGGTGGAAGTGGGTTGGGGTGGGAGTGGGTGTGAGTGCGCGGGGGTGCTGGGCGAGCCCTCCCTTCCAACCCCATATTTCCCCCCCCCCCCCCCTCCTCCCCGGCCCCACACAAAATCCCGCTCCCTGCCGTCCCTTCGCTCCCTCCAACCTGCAGCATGGAGGCACGGGGCTGCTCTCCTTTCCCCCCGACCCGCCGGGCCCCCCCAGGACCTCCGCACACCTCCGGCCCCTTCGCAGCCGGCACACATGGGGACCCTCCCCGCCGACCTCCGGACAGGGCAGAGCCCCGCTGCCTGGGGGCCGCCGGCCCGGGCCCCCTCCTCCACGGGAGACCCTTCTACGGGGCTGCAGGTACCGGGGGAGGATTGGGGTGGCGGGGGGAGCCGAGGTCGCACCCAAAGGCTTTGCTTTCCCGATCCGCTCCTGCCCCTCGCCGCCCCGCTCTCTCCCTCCGCTCTGCGCTCCCTATCACAGACGCGGTCCCGCTGTCGCGACACGGAGATCGACCCGATGGGCTCCCGGCGATGCGAGAGGAGCGCAAAACGCGGCCGCGGATGGGAGCGGGGATCCGCCCGGTGCCCGGATCCGCCCCAGCGGGACTCTCCCCATCGTTTCTCGATCTCCCCGAGCGCTCCTCGCTCCTTCCATCCCCGATAACACCGTCGGAGGCCCCGAGGGCTCCGCTTTGCCCCGGCCCCGTCAGACCGCTAATAGACCGAACAGCGAGGCCGAGCGCGACAGGAACCCAACGGCACCGGGGGAGGGGAGCGCCGCTTACCGCTGCCTGCATCCTCCGTCCGGCCTCGGGAGCCCCGCAGCCCCGGCCCTCCGCTCCCGGTCCCCGCGGGCGCTGCTCTCCTCCCGGTGATGCTGCAGCTGTTCCGCAGCTGGGGGCAGAGCCGTGCGGGGCGGTGGGTTTGGGGTGTCCACGTTGTTCCTTTCTCCCCCCTCATCCCCTTCTTCTGAACCGTTCACGTTCCGCTGCACCCCGCTGTCCCGTTCCCTTCCTGCTCCTTTTAGGGCCCTTTATTTATCAGTTTCCATCGCAGCCCTTTCAGAAAAGGGCAAAACCCTCCAGAAAGGCCCAAAGCCGCCGCTCGGAGCTCATCGCTTTGTGCAGCCCACGGTTCTCCTTCATCCCCCTTTTCCCTCCTTCCCATGGCGCTGCGTTCAGGTTTTTGCCTTCACCCCTCTCCACGTCCCCTCATCGCCCACAGCAGCGGCACAGCGCTGCCCTCCAATTGCTCAGCCCTCCAGGAGCACAAAGCTGGGGATCCCGCAGCCCTTGGCTGTTTTTGGGGGGTACAGAGACCACTTGGAACCGAGGATAGGGGAGCAGCTCCCCCTCCTCCCCAGCCCCAGATGAGATTGGGCCGTTAATTCGAAGCAGCTGCCCCGCAGCTCGCGGCTGCGCGCCGTGACCCCCAAATTGCCTCAATTAGGACAAAATAATAATAATAATAGCCGTCATCATCATCATCCAAAGGGAAGGTCTGGAAAATGCCACCTTGGAGGTGGGGTCGGGGGCTCAGAACCTCGTGGGGATGTGCAGGGATGGGACACAGGGATGGGACACCAGGATGGCCCCCTCAGTAGCCCTGAGGGCTGGGCTGCACCCCACACAGGGGCTGAGACCCTCAGGGATTCCTAATCTCCACCTGCTGCCAGCCCAGGCTGTTGGGCTTGGTTCTACTGGGGAGGGGGAGACACAAAGGAATGCAGCTGGGGGGGGCTCCTCCATAGGCAGCAGAGCCCCCAGGTGAGCACAGCAGGGCTCCCCACACTGTCCCCCCCCTTCTCCCCCAGGTTCCCTCTGTGAGTTCTGCCCCTCGGGGTGAGCCACAGCACCCGGCCCCATCCTCATCTGCCCTCCCCTCCGTGGGATGAGCGCCTTTCAGTGGGGCTGGGATGGCAGTACTTGAGAACAGCAGGAGGGACTTGACCCCCAGAGCACAGCCTAGGGGGGGGCACAGCAGTGGGGAGGGGGGGAACCCCCATGTTCAGAGCTGTGGCTCCATCCTCAGAGCTGCACGGGGAGAAAGGGATTGCATTGGAAGCAACGAGGACAAGATTCGGGTTTGCAAATGGATTCCCGAGAGTCAGGGCTGCAGAGAGACGCCATGGCAGCCTCCGAGATGCTCACCAAGCGGGGGTCCTGCAGCTCCCCTCCCCTGCCCAGCCCCCCCGTACCCCCCCCATCCCACGGGGCGATGAGGAACCCCAACCTTCATCCCCCCACTGCAAGACCGGCGGCTCCGTGCTCCCCTAACGCCCCACCTCTCCCCTCCAGGCATCGAGAAAGGCTGCAAGGCCGAGTGCCACGCAATGCCTGCTGCCTGCCGCCCCTCGGCCAAAGCCCCACTGCTGGCATCCCCCCCCCTGGGCAGCCCCCTGCTGCCAGAGCCCCCTCCTCTGGGTAGGAGCAAGAGCAAGAAGCGGAGGAACAGGACGACCTTCAGCACCTTTCAGCTGGAGGAGCTGGAAAAGGTCTTCCAGAAGACTCATTACCCCGACGTGTTTGCCCGCGAGCAGCTGGCGCTGCGCACAGAGCTGACCGAGGCCAGGGTGCAGGTATGGGGCTGGAGGACCCGGGGGGAGGGATGCCTTCCTCTGCCTGAAGAGGGGGATGCTGAGATCCGAAAGGCGAACCCACCCCATTGCCAGGGGGTGTTCCGTGGCCTGGCCTCAGCTTTTCCTTTGTGCCATCCGAAGGGCAGCGAGAGAGACAAGATGTGGGGCAAGAGCCCAGCTCAGGGCATGGGAAAGCAGAGGGGCACGCGATGGGGAGGGCAGGAAAAGGAGGGAGGGCTTCATTCACCCCCATCCCATGTCCTCCTTTCTGGGGGAGGATCTGTCACGGTCCCAAGGCACAGAGGGGACGGGCAGGAGGGTGATCCCAACCCCGAGAGCCTCACCCTACACCAAAACCAAGCACAAGAGGAAGGGAACACAGGCCTGGCACCCGCCCTGCATGGGCTCTTCCTGCTGGGACGGGCGGGGGGGGGGGGTTCCCCATTCCTCAGCCCCCACCTCTGCCCCCAGGTCTGGTTCCAGAATCGAAGGGCCAAGTGGAGGAAACGGGAGCGCTATGGGAAAATCCAGGAGGTGAGAACCCCCCCGTTGCACCCCCCCTCACCGCGCTCCACCCCACGCCCTGCAGTCACAGCGCCCCCCAGCAAGGCAGTGGAGCACTTCACCTCCTCGCCTTGCTGCAAAACTGCCTTTTTTTCTTTTCCACCAAACACTAAAATGCATACCAAGAATCACAGAATCACAGAATCACAGAATCACCCGGGTTGGAAGGGACCTCAAGGATCATGTAGTTCCAACCCCCCTGCCTAGCAGGGCCACCAAACACACACATTCAGATCAGGTTGCCCAGGACCCTGTCCAACCTGGCCTTAAACACATCCAAGGACGGGGCATCCACAACCTCCCTGGGCAGCCCGTTCCAGGGCCTAACCACTCTCCTTGTATAGAACTTCCCCCTAACATCCAACCTAAATCTTCCCTCCTTCAACTTGGATCCATTTCCCCTAGTCCTGCTGTTGTCAGCCCTTTTGAAGAGTTTACTCCCCTCCTGGCTGTAGGTTCCCTTCAGGTATTGATAGGCTGCCATGAGGTCACCCCGCAGCCTTCTCTTCTCCAGGCTGAACAAGCCCAACTCCCTCAGCCTGTCCTCATAGGGGAGGTGCTCCAGCCCCCTGCTCATCTCAGTCGCCCTCCTCTGGACCCTTTCCAAAATCTCTCTGTCTTTCTTGTACTGAGGGCTCCACACCTGGACACAGGACTCCAGATGGGGCCTCACAAGAGCCGAGTAGAGAGGGACGATCACCTCCTTGTCCCTGCTGCCCACCCCTCTCCTGATGGAGCCCAGGATCCCATTTGCCTTTCGAGCTGCCACAGCGCACTGCTGGCTCATGTTCAGTCTCTCGTCCATCAGGACCCCCAGGTCCTTCTCTGCCGAGCTGCTCTCAAGGACCACTCCTCCCAGCCTGTACGGGTGCCTGGGGTTCTTCCGGCCCAAATGCAAAACCTTGCACTTTGCCGTGTTGAACCTCATTAGGTTCACCCGAGCCCAGCCCTCCAGCCTGTCGAGGTCCCTCAAGAACCTCAAACCAACCAGCTCTGTGCCCCCCCCCCCCTCTCCGCTGCTCTCTGACTGCTGTGTGGCACAGAGGCAGCAGCAGCAGCACCAGAACACGAGGCTGGGGGCTGCCAGGAGGGTCCCCGCACCACAAACCTCCCAGCTCAGTGCTGCCAGGAAGGAGATCAGGATCTGCTCCCCCACCCAACTGAAGGAAAGCAAAGACGGCCCTTGGTTGCAACCCTGTGGGCAGGAGGGGAGGCGATTCAGGATGCGGGGTGTGGATGATGATGCAGCACCCACTCTGGGGTCTTGGCTCCTTTCTTCCAGCTGCAGAACAACCTGTGGCCGAGCTCTGGCAGCCCTGCAGGGCCCTGCCTCGTGCCCCCCGACAGCGTGCCATCGCCGTGCGTGTCTCCGTATCCCCACACTCACAGCAACATCACCAGCTTCGTGGGCATCCCTGCCTCTCCCGGCCACCCCCCCGGCATCAACAGCCTCTACTCCCTGCACGGCCTCACCCCCCCGAGCCTCAGTGCCCCCCAGTTTGAGTCACAACCGTCGGAGAATGACTACAAACCTCCCACCCTGGTGACGCTGCGGATGAAAGCCAAGGAGCCGGGCAGCCTGCTGGGCTGGGCCACGTAACCCCTGCAAGGGACACAGCCCCCAAGGCAGCGTGGTGCATCCCTCCTGCATCCCAATATTGCTGCAGCCCGGCCCTCTGCATCAGGAAGGAGGGGGGGTGAGGGGAGCAGAGAGCAGCGCAGAGCAGCTGGGATCTGATGGAGGGCGCCGTTGGCTTTGCCCAGCATCTGCACCACGGAGGCGTGGGGAAATCACCCCCAAATCACATCTGCAGAGCACACAGCATCCCAGCACCCATCCTGAGCCCACGTCCTGGGGCAGGGCGGCTGTGTGGGGTGGGGGGAATGAGTGCTGGGAGAGGGGGATCGCCGGGGAGAGAGGAAAGGCTGAGGGCAGAGCCAGCCCACCTTGTCACAACGCCCACCCCAGGCTGAAGGAGCCCTCAGAGCTTCCCTGCACCCCACAGCAAAACATCAACCCCACTCTGCTGCATCCCGATGGCAGGCAGGGAAAGCGGGGAGCCCTCAGGGAAGGGCCCAGCCCTCACCACCAGCCCCATTTGGGTCAAAATAACACCCCAAACCCAACAGTTTCCGTGCAAAAGCCCCAAAAACCTCTCAGCAGCCCGAGGAAACCATGGGCACAGCCAGTGCCCCACAGGGAACGCAGCCCCATGGGGAGACCCACGCTGCTCCACAGCCCCCTCCCCCCCACAGAGATTTTGCTCCCTTACAAACAATAAAAGCACACTTTTAGGAACCTGGTTTCTGCCCCCGTGCTGCTGCCATGAGGCTGGAGGGACGCAGACAGAGGCGGGCCGCGCTCAGTTCAGGGCTATCACGAATATATATACGTATATATATTATATATGTACAGCTCATCCACCCCACCCAGCGGGGTGAGGGAACACTGCAGCCTCCAGCCCCACCACCACTGCACTCCCAGCCCCCCCTCCACTGCCCGGGGGGGGGGCACACAGCCTTCGTGTTCCTATCACAGCACCCAGCGACCCACAGCGGCACCAAAGGACCCTTCATTGCCCCACCGGCTTCTGTATGGGGTGAAGCACGGCACAGCCTGGAAGGAGGCAGAGGGGCTGGATGGAGTCCCAGATCCCAGCTGCACGAGGCCAGGCACCCACAGCCCCCCCCAGCACCCGAGGCTTTGCCCCCATAACCTCGAACCTCTCCCCA